TGTTGGGAGTGATATAAATAGAAAGGAATGTAAGCTCTTTTTATATGCAATAACAGCAGCAAGAATATTACTGGCCCAAAAATGGAAGCAAGAAGAATTACCGACGATTGAAGAATGGAGGATGAAGTTAATGGACTATGCAGAATTAGATAAACTAACAGGAAGGATTCGAAACCGGCGGGACCAGAAATTCACGGAAGACTGGAGTATATTTACAGACTATTTGAAAAGTATTTGTGAAGATCAGACAATGTTTGTAGGTTTGCAAGAAGTTTTGTGAGTATTATTGGAAGTATTGCAAAAATGGAGAAGGGGAAGGATGACTTGTTAAGAGATGTAAAGGCAATATAAAGTTAAGAAATGCATAAGAAGTGGTTAAAACGGTGGATCATCAGAGGTGCTGATGGAAGTCCAAAAAGATTGTATAAGTGATAAGTTTTGTGGTACATTTTATCATTTATGTTAAAATCAATAAAAAATATATTTTTAAAAAAAGATGATGATGCAGTGCTAGAGAAAGAATGTGGGTGTGCAGAATCCGGCTTCTGTTCAAAGGCAAAATGTACCTTTTGTTGCTCCATGTCCTTTTGCCTCTGGCCCCAACCATCACTGGCATGTGGCCCTCGGAAGTTTGCTTCAAAGGGCAATGCGGCCCTTGGGCTAGGAAAAAAGCTCCACTCTTGGTGTACAGTGGTACCTCAGATTAAGAACTTACTTCATTCTGGAGGTCCGTTCTTAACCTGAAACTGTTCTTAACCTAAAGTACCACTTTAGCTAATGGGGCCGCCTCCTGCTGCTGCACTGCCGCTGCGCGATTTCTGTTCTCATCCTGAAGCAAAGTTCTTTCTTTTTAAAAAAATAATTTTCATTGAATGATTTTATGTCACAAAAAACAATACAGCCATATTACCACTAAATATAATTAAGAAATAAAAATTACATACATCAATATTTAGTTTGTTATTTGTTATTTACCGTCTTATTTCCTGCCAAACATTGCATACAAAAACACACATATGTGCAGACACCCACACACTCACACCCGCACACAAAATGATAATAATGAAAGTAAATGTTTTTTCCCCTTTTATCTTCCAAAATCTTTTCTTCAACTTTGACTTCCTGTCAAGTCCCTTTGCATATATTTTATCTTACACTCGAATGTACACAAAACAATAAACCTTATATAAATTTTCCAATACATTCTGAAAACATAATAAATCCTTAATTGTTGTCCACCTCCTTTTAGTTCCTTTATCACTCGAATGCTAGCATGGAGTCAAAACTATTATTGTATTTTTGAACATATCTTCTATAACCATCCCATTTTCCCGCAAATTTTTGCTTTGAGTTTCCTCTGAGTTTACTAGTCAATTGAGCTGCCTCCACCAATTGCTGTAATTTGATTTGCCAGTCTGTTATCTGAAGCAAAGTTCTTAACCCGAGGTACTATTTCTGGGTTAGCGGAGTCTGTAACCTGGAGAGTCTGTAACCTGAAGCGTCTGTAACCTGAGGTACCACTGCAATGGAATAAGCTCATGTATTCAGTGACCACAGAATATAGAAACATTTTCAAGGTAGGATGTGAGTGCGTGTAGGATCAAGCATGATGGGTGTCCTGGTATATATTTATTTTCCCTAGGTACATTTTAACACCTGCTGTTGATTCATACATTTGATTCATTCCTTCAGTATGTTTATTGTGCTAACCAAAAGCCATAGCAATCACATTAAAGGTAAAGGGACCCCTGACCATTAGGTCCAGTGGTGACCCACTCTGGGGTTGTGGCGCTCATCTCGCTTTACTGGCCGAGGGAGCCGGCGTACAGCTTCCGGGTCATGTGACCAGCATGACTAAGCCGCTTCTGGTGAACCAGAGCAGCACACGGAAATGCTGTTTACCTTCCCGCCGGAGCGGTACCTATTTATCTACTTGCACTTTGACGTGCTTTCGAACTGCTAGGTTGGCAGGAGCAGGGACGGAACAACGGGAGCTCACCCTGTCACAGGGATTCGAACCGTCGACCTTCTGATTGGCAAGTCCTAGGCTCTGTGGTTTAACCCACAGTGCCACCTGCGTCCCTAGCAATCACATTACAAGGTGCCAAAATACGTACATAGCAATAACATAGCAAACACTGGTAATATAAAAGTACCATCAGCTAGTTCTGACTAGCTTCTGACTCTCCAAAACCATTTACAGCAATATTACAAGCATTACCAAACTCTCTCTTCCAAATATTTACTGAAGCCAGTGCAAAAAGAGCCATTTTGTGCGTCACTCAAAAGAAAACAAAGTGTTTCTACCAGGGCGTTCCTGCTTCCATATTGCAGCAGAGTTTTCAGAAATCTCTCTCTTGGATCAATATACATATAAATGATATAAATAAATTGACTATTGGTCAATGCTTTGCTTTGAATCGTATTATTGGAAAATACACTGAAGAAATTAATCTGTTAATATGATGGGCAGCTGGTGAAGTTATATGCTATCATCACATTCAATATTGCTAAAGTCAGACTGCTTCTGCACTTGGAAGATGAATTATCACGACAATTTGGCCTCTCCCAGGTGCAAGCCTGGGCAGTATATATGGAGGTCCTGGGCTGCCCACATGACAAGACTCACTAATGTGGTCCAAAAGAAAAGCAGAGCAAGATGTTTGGCACCAGCTTGGTTGCAGGAGTTGCTGGAAGGAGGCGTACAAGGTGCCACCCAATCATCTTAAGGACTTATACCTAAAGGACCGCCTCTTTCCATATGAACCTACCCGGTCCCTGAGATCATTTTCTGAGGCCCTCCTTCGTGTGCCTCCTTCTTGAGAGGTCCAGAGGGTGGCAGCACAAAAACGGGGCCTTCTCTGCAGTGGCTCCTCGTCTGTGGAATGCTCTCCCCAGGGAAATTCGCCTGGTGCCTTCATTACACACCTTTAGGTGCCAGGTAAAAACGTTCCTTTTTAGCCAGGCCTTTGGTTGATCTTATTGAATAAATTGGGTGAACTCTTCCCACCTTGGATCAAATCTATGCTTCCAAGTGCCATATGAAAGCTGCAGAGATAGTGCAGGATAGTGCGCACCCGGAAATGATCTCTTTCAGCTTCTGCCTTCTGGAAGAAGGTACAGGGTTACAAAGACTAGGACTAGCCGCCTGAGAAACAGTTTCTATCCAAATGCGATTTGGGTTTTGAACGCAGTGTAAGGAGTCTCTATGGGAGTATATTGTATTTTAAAATAGGGTATCAGAGTTTTTAGGGGGCTAACCAGGTTGGGATAGCTGGGATAGCAGGCTTGTTGGGTTTTTGAATGTCTTATGTAGATTTTTCAATTTCGTTGTTCTGTATGGGACAATGACAATAAAGATTATTGTATTGTATTGTATTGTATTGACATCCAACACCCTTTTAGAATGTGGCTTTTGGGGGGGGGGTTATTGGGTTACCACTTTTTGTTTGATTTTATATGTTGTGATATCTTCTGTGAACTGCCCTGAGACCTTCGGGTATAGGGCGCTTATAAACTCAATAAATAAGAAATAATAATAATTCTCCCAAAGTTCTAATGCAAGGCAATGGAGGTTCAGGACCAGAGTTTTCCTTCTCCTAGATTAGCTCCCTTTCCAGGTTTATGAGCCCCACAAAGTAATACCAGGGCCCTAAAAATATCCCACGTTTTGGCCTTGCCTCAAAAAATCAACATTTTCCAGGATCCCCTATCCTTCTGTATGTTAACCCCAGATTTCGCCACCAGGGGGTGCGCTTGGATTAACTATTCGCCATGCAGACTAGCTGCGCTCTAAAGCAAAGCCTTGACCCTGTGTCAGAGTCGCCCACAATGAGCTGGCCACTGGGCAGGGTGCCCCAAAACGCAGCCGTGCCACAGGCCGGCCTGGTTAAATGAATCAGCCTTCAGCCGCTGCTTTTGGCTCCCAGAAAGAAAAACACCGGAATAACGGGAAGAGCACTAGCCATTGAGACCAGGGAGCTGTCCACTGAAAGCCTTTCGGCTGGTGGTGCTGAAATCAGACCAGGGTTTTCTTAGCTCATGGCAGATCAATGCGCTGATGCATGAAACAGAGGTGGGGGGGGTGAATTTGGAGCTGGAATCACTGCGGCCTCAAATCCAGGCATTGCATATTCCGGTATGCCCCACGGAGAGCCTCAAGGTCCATAAATAGCAACACCCTAGTGGTCCCTGGCCCTAAGGAAGTTAGATTAGCTTCAACCAGAGCCAGGGCCTTTTCAACAGTGGCTCTGGCCTGGTGGAACGCTCTGCCTCATGAGACCAGGGCCCTGCAGGATCTGATTTCTTTCCGCAAGGCCTATAAGACAGAGTTGTTCCGCCTGGCCTTTGGCTTGGAGCCAATTTGATTCCCTCCCTCTCTTTCTTTTTTCCTTTCCTTCTCCTCCTGCGATGAGGCTACATTTTAATTTTTTAGTGTTTCAATATTTAAATGTTGTATTTTAATTTTGTTTTTAAGTTGTATTCATTCAACTTGTTTTTATTATTGCTTGTTAGCCGCCCTGAGCCAGGCCTTGGCTGGGGAGGGCGGGGTATAAATAAAAATTATTATTATTATTATTATTATTATTATTATTAAGGTGCAGTAGCTTCTGCAATGAGAGCATGCCTGGAGCAAGACCCGTTCATCCAGGGTCGTCTTGGACCACAGTTCCACTTTGCAGAGGCTACATTAACATGCTCACTTGGGGGTCTCAATCGTCAGTCATTGTTTTGATAGGAGAACTGTTTCCTGACTGTATCATAGGGGTTCGGGCTCGATGTGGTAACTCTGCCATTCTAGGATTCTGTGACTACTCAAATGCCAGCTGAGAGGACCTGCTCTGGGGCGTCTTGCTTAACCCATGGTGCTTCCTCGGTAGGCACTTCAGAAGGGACAAATCTTTTAAGTAGGTGTGGGATGAGCCCTGTCTCACAGACTTGCAAAGTTGGGAGGGACCACGAGGGTCATCTAGTCCAACCCCCTGCAATGCAGGAATCTTTTCCCGTTTGAGGCTTGAACCCATGTCCCTGAGATTAGCGGTCTCATGCTCTACCAACGGAGCTATCCTGGATGGCCATGATAATCAACCAACCAATTGATTAAATTGGCTAAAAAAGCCAATGCAATTCTGGGCTGCATCAATAGGAGTATAGCATCTAGATCAAGGGAAGTAATAGTGCCACTGTATTCTGCTCTGGTCAGACCTCACCTGGAGTACTGTGTCCAGTTCTGGGCACCACAGTTCAAGAAGGACACTGACAAACTGGAACGTGTCCAGAGGAGGGCAACCAAGATGGTCAAAGGCCTGGAAACGATGCCTTATGAGGAACAGCTAAGGGAGCTGGGCATGTTTAGCCTGGAGAAGAGGAGGTTAAGGGGTGGTATGATAGCCATGTTCAAAGATATAAAAGGATGTCACATAGAGGAGGGAGAAAGGTTGTTTTCTGCTGCTCCAGAGAAGCGGACACGGAGCAATGGATCCAAACTACAAGAAAGAAGATTCCACCTAAACATTAGGAAGAACTTCCTGACAGTAAGAGCTGTTTGACAGTGGAATTTGCTGCCAAGGAGTGTGGTGGAGTCTCCTTCTTTGGAGGTCTTTAAGCAGAGGCTTGACAACCATATGTCAGGAGTGCTCTGATGGTGTTTCCTGCTTGGCAGGGGGTTGGACTCGATGGCCCTTGTGGTCTCTTCCACCTCTATGATTCTATGATTCTATGATTCTATGATTCTAAATTCATACCCCAGACCTCCAAGGATCATACATTTGCACATTGATATTCCAGATCTTAACCACTTTGAAGTTATTGCTTTTGGGGAGGAAGGCATTTGATCAGGACGGACTATGTGGCAAACGTCCTATTGGCTGCCATATGCCCTGGACATTACCAGAATTTCAAAGGTGGAATTGATGACAGGGGGGCGTTTCTGAAAGGTGGAGCTTTTGGGTTTGCTCAACAATTTGGGGGTCTTCCTTAAAAAAAAGCTCAACAACTTTCAGGGTGTCCTGGGCATGAGGTGTGAAAGAAGGAGATGTTCCCTACAATTGGGGTCAACAGTGGGTGAGGGATTGCTCTTTCCAGTTCTCTCTTGGGTCAAGTCTTCCTCCAACATAATTTGGCTTTCCTTTGCTGAGAGAATAAGGTAAAGGTAAAGGGACCCCTGACAGTTAAGTCCAGTCGCAGACGACTCTGGGGTTGCAGCACTCGTCTCGCTTTACAGGCCGAGGGAGCCAGCGTTTGTCCGCAGACAGTTTTTCCAGGTCTTGTGGCTAGCATGACTAAGCCGCTTCTGGCGAACCAGAGCAGCGCATGGAAATGCCGTTTACCTTCCCGCCGGAGCGGTACCTATTTATCTACTTGCACTTTGACGCACTTTCAAACTGCTAGGTTGGCAGGAGCAGGGACTGAGCAACGGGAGCTCACCCCATCGCAGGGATTCGAACCGCCGACCTTCTGATCAGCAAGCCCTAGGCTCTGTGGTTTAGACCACAGTACATAGAACCAAAGAAGCGAAACTGCCTTGCTAGACTAGAATGATGTTATAAATAGACCAAGAAGGCTGTAGCTTTGGGTCTGTTACATCAGCGGAGGCTGATCTTTTAGGGCAGGGTCAGCAAACTTTTTTCAGCAGGGGGCCGGTCCACTGTCCCTCAGACCTTGTGGGGGCCGGACTATATTTTGGTGAGAGAAAAATGAACGAATTCCTATGCCCCACAAATAACCCAGAGGTGCATTTTAAATAAAAGCACACATTCTACTCACGTAAAAACACGCTGATTCCTGGACCGTCCATGGGCTGGATTTAGAAGCCAATTGGGCCAGATCTGGCCCCCGGGCCTTCGTTTGCCTACCCATGCTTTAGGGCGAATGAGGCCACCCCCATCAACCCCACTCTGTCCTCAGCCTGCCCCCATCTTGCCTGCCTCCTTATCTATGACTAGTCAAGGCCTCCTTGGCTGTGCGTCTCAGTCTTCCCCTTGAAGAACTCACCAGGAAGGAGGAAGATGGGGACAAAATGAGAGTAAGTTGGCTCTGCTTGTCAGTGGCTCTCTGGCGCCACCTGCTGTTGGCCTCCTGGCCTTTCGCCCCATCGGTCCCAATGGGTACCAGTCACCACTGTGTTGTATTTCTAGGGCTAAGAAATGTGATGCTATGCATTTGAGTATGTGCGTAAAATTGTCACGGCACATGACTATCTTTTTCTCCAGGCATCTGACTTAGTGGCCTCTATGTTGTGAAAACCGACACTGCAGTTAGTCTATTAGCCTTTGAGTCTGTTGGTTTCACTCCTAGGAAATGTATTTTTGGATGACTGGGTGCCTGCAAGTCAACCTAAATCCCAGCAGCACTGGGTTGAGGTGAGTTAAAGCCTTGGTTCTGATTCCACTCCTTTGTGAGTAAATCCCCATCCAGAGCCCTAAAAGCAAGTCCAATTCAGTGTTCGATTACGTAAGCATAAGACTGCAACCAAGATAGGAAAATGTATTTGCATACCATTTATACATCCCTTTAAAGGTACCGTAAGATGTTGCACTGATGATGAAAATTTGTCCTGGAGAAAAACCAATTCTTTATCCTGTTCTTTGGAGGGAAGGAGAACGCCCCTCCCGCTTCATCACCAAGCAGAAAATGAAAATAAAAACAGAAAGCTGGTAGCCGTGTGGTCAGCCAGGGGGCCGCCCCCAACCCCCCCATTTCCAGAAAAAGAAGTGCCGGAACTCACCATGAACACCTCCACCTGAGAAATGCTGGAACGGAGTTCCTGTGAATTCTGACTTAAAAAAACCCAGTGCAAAGATGGAATAGGCAGCACAGTCTGTGATAGGCTGCCACGTTCTGAGTGTTGTGGACTGCCAACCTTACTATATGCTTGTGAAACATGGACCACTTATAAACGCCATCTCCAATTCCATCAACGGTGTCTCCGAAAAATATTACACATCACTTGGGAAGACAGGCGAACTAATGCCAGTGTACTGGAAGAAGCAAATATCACCAGTGTCAAAGCAATGATTCTTCAACATCATCTTTGTTGGACTGGTCATTTTGTGCGGATGCCTGATGATCGTCTCCCAAAGCAACTACTCTATTCCTAACCAAAATGGAAAACGCAATGCTGGTGGTCAACAAAAGAGGTTTAAAGACTCTCAAGGCAAATCTTTAAAAATGTAGTGTAAACACTGACAACTGGGAAACACTGGCCTGCGAGCGCTCCAGCCTTTACCAACAGTGTCATGGGCTTCGAAGATGCTCAAACTCAGGACGCAAGGGAGAAACGTGCTAAAAGGAAGGCACACTTGGCAAGTCCACACCGTGATCAACTCCCACCCAGAAACCAATGTCCCCACTGTGGAAGGACGTGTGGATCCAGAATTGGCCTCCACCGTCACTTACAGACTCACTATTAAGACCGTGTTTATGGAAGACAATCTTACTCAGCTACGAGTGATCGCCAAAGAAGAAGAAGTTGTGGACTACAACTCCCATCAGCCATAGGGAGTTTACCATGCTGCTTAGAACTGATGAGAGGTACAGTCCAAAATGTCTGCAGGGCACCAGGTTCCTGAAGGCTGGCTTAGGGCACAAGCTATGAACCGGCTCAAATCTCACCTCCACCAAGAATTCATTAGATGGCACTAAGACACAGTTTGCTTCCAGGTCTTTGTATCATTTCCCACTATCTGCGAACTCCAGTATAGGTGAAGAGTTTTTGTTTTGTTTTTAATTCTCCCATTAAATGTGATCTCCATTGTTTAAAACCCAAACCACGGCTTACATGCTACAATGTTTGTTTGTTTGTTGCCTCCTGGTTTAATTCTCCAATAAAATTCACCGCTAGGAGCAACTATTTAAAACTTCCAAAAAATAATTGAAACCAACGCTAAGCTAAAGACAGATTCAATCGCACATCATCGTTCTACAGATCTGGGTAGGCTTGCCCAACCAAAAATGTTTTTAGCTGGTGCCAAAAAGAGTTCAGTGAAGGCGCCGGCCTGGTGTCAATTGGCGGGGAGTTCCAAAGTGTGTGTGCTGCCACACTAAAATATTAATTTACACTTGGCTGGAAGATGTGATCATGGCCGCTAACCTGCAAGGCTTTAAAAGGTGATTAGACAAATTCCTGGAGGAGAATTCTCTCAGTGGCCTTCAGCCATCTCGAGAGGCAGTCTAGCTCTGACTATCAGGTACAGTGGTACCTCGAGTTAAGTACTTAATTCGTTCCAGAGGTCTGTTCTTAACCTGAAACTGTTCTTAACCTGAAGCACCACTTTAGCTAATGGGGCCTCCTGCTGCTGCCACGCCGCCAGGGCATGGTTTCTGTTCTCATCCTGAAGCAAAGTTCTTAACCTGAAGCACTATTTCTGGGTTAGCGGAGTCTGTAACCTGAAGCGTATGTAACCTGAAGCATAGGTACCACTGTACTGGGGTGCAAGGAGAAGCAGGAGGCTACCACTTTCATGGCCTGCCTGCAGCACTCGCAGGCACACAGGAAACTCCCTTATGCACCATTGGTCCATCTAACTCAACACGGACTGGCAGCAGCTCTGCAGGGTTTTGGATGCTGGCCTGGTGACGCCAGGTTTTGAACCCAGAACATGCTGCATGCATAACAAATGCTCTGGCAGGCCACGGCGGTCTGGTCCAACAGGGCTCTTCCGACGTCATTATGACCATCACATCCAGGCAGCACATGAATGGGTGTCTGCTACAGCTGTTAAGCAATACATGTGACGTTGCCAGGCCACCAACTCCAGCTGTGCTATCTCTGACTGGCAGCTCTCCAAGATCTTGGGCAGTCTTCTTCAACCTGGAGCCAAGCGCTGGCTGGGATTGGAATGGTCAGGGATGCTTTAGCTGAGATTCCTGCATTGCAGCGGGTTGGACAATTCTGTGATTCTAACATCTGGAGCACATCAGGCTGGGGGAAGGCATACCCTCCAACATTTCTCTGATGAAAATAGGGTGTCTTATTCCATAATAATTTTATTATTTATACCCCGCCCATCTGACTGGGTTGCCCCAGGCAATCTGGGCAGCTTCCAACATACATAAAAGGTAAAGGGACCCC